CCGACCAAGGTGACCTCGTAGTAGTTTCATGAATATCAACTGAACAGCATAAAAATAATAACACAATAAATTAGCTTTTATAATCATATTAAGTAGAGTAGAAAGTGTTCACGGTTAAACTAGTTAACCTAAGCGTTATCTTGATATGAATGGTATTATTTAACAATCCAATCGTCCATTTGTTTTAAATTTCGATTGATTTATGAAATAAAATCGTCTGAACTAGATGATATTACTTCATAGAAGTTTCATTCTTAATGACCTTAAGGGTCATAACTTTCTTTAGTATCTTTCAATAATGTAACTTATAGTTGATGATCAGTGAGTGACCGGCCACTAAGCTGATTTTGAAGATAAGTGGTTTTGTAGAGTTTTTTAGTAACTACAATGGTATGGAGCATGACGTGGAACGAAAGGGATGTTCTACTTCAGAGTAAGTTCAGATAAGAGAAAACTAATCAATGGTGCCCAGCTAGTTTACCAGTTCATCGTAGTCGGTTGATAGAATTATTGAATTTTAAGGAAAATATCCTTACATCATGTGACATAGTAATAATCGCAGTGATAGTTCCAGTATTTTATACTTATCAATAGCAATCAGATTATATTATATCAGTTTATAGTCGATTGATAAGTCTTAGGTCGAATGACTAGATAAGCACCAGCAAAATTCTTATTTTATGACTATATTACTTATGAGTAGTAAGTATTCATCGTATTTTAATTATATTTCATGGCTTTGCCTTCCTTGTTCTTGACTGGTCTATCTGTTTGACTATATTTCGCAGCGAGAAATACGAAAATCACTATCCACAAGATACAAGTGTCTGTTACCAGCTGTCTACACAAAATACTTAGGATCCACTGGCCAGACAACCATCTGTGGTAGAGATTCCAGCACAGGAAATTAGGAAAAGGAGCTGAAGGTGGACAGGATACACATTGATGAAATCTCCCAGCTGCGCTACCAGGTGAGCTTTAAATGGACATCGTAAAAGCCGAAAGATATAAGTTAAATGGAAGAACACACTGCGTCCAGAATTGGAGACAGACGTGAAGAGAATGAATATAAACTAGAAACAACTGGAAATGTGACCCGAAGACAGAGTAGGTTAGAGAATCCAGGTCTGCAGTCCAATAAAGGTAACAGGCAGAACTTAATAATCGTATATAATGAATATCAAAGAAAGAAGTCTGTGGTTTGATATTAGTTTCTTCGATTGAAAGCGTTTAAAATTTAAGATCTCATAAACTTCATATTAGGAAACTTATAATTAACTAAATGTTTGACAGAAATGTAGTTACATAGATCTGAATGCTGGCAGAAACAATGGAAAATAAATAAATTCACATTAGTTCATATTTCTAATGAAACTTCAATTTAAGGAAAATGTTTCTATCTTCTTTCAAACTAACTCCGCTTCTGGGGCTAATCACAATCAAGTCCTTCCTACAATTCTTAACAACCACTTACCTCTACTACTAACTACTATTCTTTATCACTTTGTATCACTAATGTAAACGATTCGAGTGCACAAAAATCATTCCTGGTAAGTAGGCTTAGCGAAAAAGAAAGACACCTTGGTGGATCTTATGGCGTCCCAGCTGATCGAATAGATCATGGTGACCGTCTGCTGCAACTATGCTCAAATGATCTCCTTTTTCCAGCAAATACCAACTCTGAGCATAAGTAAAAATAAACTTTGAATTGGCAACCCCCAAAGTCGTCTCAACTTTGGCACCGAACGGACAACATGACTATCAGCCACCGAAGGAGAAGCTCGATAGAAGACTGTCTCTCATTCTGCAGCACATGTTTAGATTCAGAGCATGCTCTAATACAGTCACGTAGTTGTTTGTTTATTATTGGACCTAAGAAAAACACAGCAAGGAAAACTCTTGGTAAGTGTAGACTACTCGATTGGAGTGCGTGAGATGGCAGTAACTGATAGTTAGAGACCTTGAAAGGCATAGGTGTAAATCCTTTGCAATTGCGCAAGTACAACCATTCTTCGTCTTCTCCCAAATTCTAGTCTTCTGAATTCCTCATCGACTTTATCTTTCTGCCTTTAAATTTATTTCATTGGATTATACTTAATGAATTAGATCTTCGAACCCGATGCTCTGTTGGCCGTAACAGACAGACAGATACAACGCAGAAATTCGTACATAAGTAAATCAGTTCAGGCTGACATACCACATTAAAACAGAGACGCAACTAACAGCTCAAATCCAAGAGTGATAGCGATAGTAAAATTATTAGCAATAATAAACAAGATTAGGGCTCGAAGATATTATTCGAGAAGTATAATTCAGTGATATTAATTTAGGAGAAAGATAGAGATGATGAAGAATTCAGAAGGTTACAATTTGAGAGAACACAAAGAGTGGATGCACCTGAGCCGTTGCAAACGATTCTGAGCCATGTCATTCAAGGTCTCTGACCATTGGTGACTTTCGTCTCACGGACCACAACCAGGTAGCCTACATCTACCAACATCACTCAGTCCACTTGTCAGTGACTTCATGTTTTTCTGCTATGTTTTGGTCTGGTCGACCCTAGCTTTCTTCCAACCTACTCCTACACCACAAACCATAGCTCGTCGAGGCAGTCGTTGGTTGGGCATACGTAACACATGTCCCAACCACCTCAACTGATGGAGTTTCACTACTTTGTTTATTGATTTGCCATCCTTACCTAGAACTCGTTTCCTAACGACAGCATTGCTTACTCGGTTGTCCCACGATACACGAGCAATGCTTCAGATACACCAATGATCGAAGACTAGTAACCTATGAAAGTCCTCCACTCTTAACAGCCATGTTTCGCATCCGTATAGTAGGACGGAGCGAACTGCTGCGCAGTACACTCGTCCTTTAGTCAGCCTCTAGCCATTCAGTATGACTGGGGATCGTGGGTAACCGAAGAGTGGGTGATGGCCGGTTGAGCTGATCCCTAAAGTGTCCCATCCATCGATCCAATCTCCTGAATTGAGAATAAATAATAGTCCCATCCTTTTCCGAGATAGTCTCACCGACAGTCGAATTCCTAATTCCAGTTTCCTTGATAAGTCGGCAAAGTTGTCTACCGTTGCATATCGCAGCCAACTTTTCTTCCTCTCTCGCTTTCGCCACCCACCATCCATCAGTTCGGTGGATGCTACTGAGATCCACGGCTTCATTCTAGCCTTATGCTTAACCTTACTAGCAGATATCATTGCTGTTTCCACAGTCTTTTTGATATCATTCCAACCTGCTTCCGGATGCGAATCGCTTACATGGCTGCTTGTCTTTCTAGTTGCTCCTGAAATATATTCATAGCTCTGCTATCATTAGGTAGAACCCTAACGGGTTTCCTTGCCGTGTCTTTCCTAGGTCCGGTAATTAGTCGGACAGCATACAAACGACTATCTACTGGGATCCAGTCTAGGAGCGCTAGTTCTGCTCTACGACTCTATGCTATATCTACACCAGCGAGACACCGAGAAGCAGCATCAGGGCTACCGGATACACGAAGACTAAATCAGGCTGCTTTTTTATTTTGATAAGGTAAAATCAAATTAATAACTTTACTAGGATCCTGCATGCGCGTTCCCGAGACGCAGCATACATCGATAGAGCGAGATTCTACAGTCCTCGCTAAGGAAGCCTGTTGCCCTATTTGACACAATGTCCGTACACTAAAAAGCTCCAACATCTAGTCTAGAATGGGGTTTCAGGAGACCATGAATAACGGTGCAATGAGATAAAGGAATATGAGTAGAGTTATTAGTGGAGATGAGAGAAATATTAGAGGGTGTAGGAAGGATTTGATTTTGACCAATTCGGTCTCGCGTACTGTTACTGGTATGAGGGTGGTTGTCACTTCTCGGCTGGGTAATCTACACATACCAATGTGGCTCAGGTCCAATTGTCAATTACTTCATGGACTTGTTCCATGTTTTGGTTTGACAAGCCCAATCGTTCTTCCAGTCCACTCCTACATCAGACATTACCCGTCAAGGTTATCCATGGTTGGTCATACATGACATATGTCCGAACGAACAATCACTAAAACATCCATGGATGTGACATCCCCACCTAATACCATATCGCTAACCCCAACATAATGTATATATAATCTTTACAATAAAAAATTCATAAACTTTTTTTTCTAAATGATATATTCAAGAAATCAAGTACAAATAATTAATTAATTAATTAATGCAAAGTAATTTATTGTTGGCAGTAGTAGTAGTAGTGTTAGTAGTTACCAAGCCTACACACATACACTCAAAAACATATATATATATATATATATATATATATATATATATTAACATTGGAACAAAAGTATAGATATATATATGCATGTATATATAAAATAACATTCATTAGATTCTTCATTTGTCATCTTACTATGAGTAGTTTCATTATATAATGAATACAACTGTATAAATGTACTATACTCAATAAACACGGTAAAGTTAGTAGTCATTAATAATAATAATAATAATAATAATAATAACGATAATAATATTAATGATATTGTTGATTATATATCAATAACAATAGTAATTGAAGAGCAAAAAGTCGAACTGGTGGTCTATTACTTTATTTACTACATAAAATGAATTTAAACAAGTGAAGTGAGGTGAAGAACAAACTTAACAAAAAACGAGCGCCAAAAGAAAAAAAATATTAAACAAAATCTGTACATGAATAGTTATTTATGTATATAGAGATGTGTGTGAGTGTGAATGTATGTGTACGCGTGTGTGTGTTCGCTCAGAGCATCACGACGAAGCGTGCTCTAACTATTTGTGGGTGTGTATGCGCATGTACACACACACAAGACAGATTAATAATGGCGATGATGCGAGAGAAGTGTCGAATGAAAAGCGCGAAAAACGAAGTGTTTTGAATGGCAGGAGAAGATTAAAAAAAAGAGAAAAAAACTTATTAAAAAATTGTCAGTTGTAAATGACAAACGAAAAAAAAAACATTGTTGAAAAAGAAAAACCAAAAAAAAAGACACAAAAAGAAATAAAAGATAAACCAGACGACCATCCGTTTTTAATTCATATTTAAATTAATGAAATAAAATGACCAAAACTAAACGAAGAAAAAAAATAAACAATAGTGTATATTAGTTTGTTTTTGTACAATACAACATGACAACAGCATTACGATGAAATAAATTGGTAGAGGAAAAGCGAAATTCTTACTTACACCTATCTATCTATCCTATACATTGCTTTGTTCAAGTTGCATACAGCTCAAATGATGATGTGTATGCAAAACACGAGAATATGGAGAACGGCGAACAAGTGAGTGTACGAACGTACGCACACACACATACACATATGTATATAGATGTATGTACCGATGACTGGTAATTGATAACCAATGCCAATCATCATAATCATTGACGAACGACGAGGACAAGTGGGGTTGACAACAACAACAACAGCAACAACGAAGATGATGTCAAGTTAAATTTCGCTGAATATGTGATTTGTTGAGGAGGAAAAAAAATAGAGTGTTCATCATCACAATGAATGTAGGAGGTATAAAATGAGTGAACACAGAAGTGTACTTATATTGTGCTTGCTCTTCCATTCAAATTTGTATGCTTATTTATATATGGTAAAACGGAAAATGTTTTTATATACAAACACACACACACACGCACACGCACACAAACTGTGCAATGATGACACAATACAGAAAATTCAAAGATAAGAATGTCATAGGAAACAGAAAGAAAAAAACATGAGCACGAAATAACAAAATATAATAGGGAGAAGGGTATCAGAAATGAGTACTGTTGAAATGATGATAATGATGATGTCATAGGTATGTATGTATGTGTGTTTGTGTGTATGTATATATTATTTGCGCACGATACGTATCTCTCTATTATTTGTTATTTACTGACTGAATTAGGAAAAAAACACCAGTGGTATAAAAAAAAAGTATTCAAGTTGATTATACAAGAAAATAAGTTTTTTTTAAAAAAAACAATTATTTTTATGATGAATAAACACACATGCACACACACACGCACACAACACAAAGAACTTATACACACGCACACACACACGCAAACAATGTAATCAAAAGGAATGAGAAACAATAACAATAACAACAACAACAACAGCAGCAATAAAGAAATTTAAAACTATAAACTTGTTTCTGGTACTGAGACAGCAGTGATAGCACCTAGAGAAGAGGAATTTGATAGAACAGAAGAAGGACGAGAATTGGCAAGTGCACATGAATCGGTATTATCTTCCATTACACTGGAAGAAGAAGCGACAGGACAGAGATGTGACGAAGCAAATGTTAAAAATGTACCGCTAACAGGCCATGTTGTTGTTAGAGGAGTTGAATTCACTGATTCATTTGTATCGGATGTTGAATTTGGTAAACTGGATGTTGCATTGACAGGTGGTGTATGTACTATAGGTACAAGCATGGCTGTTTGTTGTTGCTGTTGTTGCTGCTGTTGTTGTTGTTGTGTAGGAGTAGATGAAGGACGACCAGGTAAAGCACCTGTAGTATTAATTGGTCTATGATAATGTAATAATTGAGAAGGAGCTGTTGCTTCCACAGAGGATTGAAGTACCGATTGTTGTTGACTAGACAAACTAGAATGAGGAACAGAAACAGTAGGAGGAGGAGGAGGAAAAATCACTGTTGCAGATGAATGACCAGTGTGAATTGCTGCCTGATTAGATGCTGCTGTATTAGAGAATAAAGTTGAACCAGGAGTTAATAAATGTGAAGCTTGATGACCATGAGTTGGTAAATTAGTTGCAAAAGCAATATGTGTTGCTTGCCCTGACTGTAAATGAACTTGATGACCAACTAAATGTGCAGCTGAATGATGCGGGTTAATAAGTGTTCCTTGTGGATGAGAAGTAGGAATAGAAGTTAGAGTAAACTGTTGTCCAGGTTCTAGAGTGAGTCGAGGATCCAGCTGAAAAGAGAAACGATAATAAGTAACAATTTGAACGTACATACATATATAAAGTGTAGGTCAATATGCTGCTTAATCAACACATTCAGCTACTCGTTACTGATAGGTTAAAATTTGCAGTGAGGAATGAAAACTGCATGGATTAATAGAATACAGTAGCTTCAGAAATAAGTTTTAGAATGCGATTAATCGGCATTTTCATGTTTCCACTAAGCGAACCAGAATGTACAAATTTAAATCCACAATCAAAATTTAAATCGAAATCTTATAGTCAACAAAGTAGTGATCACAGTTAACTAAAATCGAGTACCATCTCAAGTTTCCTGACTAATTAATAGACTAAAAAAAATGCAACGCTAAATTTTAACAGACAAAAATGTTAATATTAATATTATAGACGTCTAATTCACAAATTAAATGTTTGTTTTTTTCCCAAAAAGAAAATAGAAACTTACCGGTTCCAAATAAACAGTATCTCCACCGACAGGATTCAATATAAATCCACCATCAGGTCCAGCGGTAGCTAAAGTAGCAGCAGCACATGATCGATCTAATTCACCTGTTGGTGTAAGAAAAGCAACTGAAGTTTGTCTAAGTGCATCACCATGATGCGATGCAGAAGTGAGAACAGTTGGAAACATAAACGACATGGTAGGAGAAGAACTAGCTTTTAATAATGCTTCTGATTGAACAGTTAATGCAGTTGTTGATGAATTAGTAAGTGATGCAGTAGGTTGAGTAATAGAACAAAGACCACCACCAGAAATAGATGTTGTCAATAAAGTCGGTGTATTTCCTTCACCACCTTATAAATCAATCGAAGAAGTTCATTTTAGTTAAGAAAATATGAAAGAGAAAAAAAATCAATAATTTCAGAAAGTTTTTAACCAAGAGTATACATAACCTTTAGAACTCTATATCAACAACTCACAGCCAGTGTTTAGCTGGATTGTGTATAATTTTTATTTGCCATTTTTTCTGGTGTGATGCAGAGTTCAATATGTCTGTAGATAAAATATGTATATATATATATATATACATATATTTGAAATATATGATTCGTATAGTGGAGGTCGATAACTGTGTTCTGAAATTGTGAATCGAATAAGAACTAGCTGCCAACTCAAGGTTATAAGTACTACAGATCATATGCCAATTGTTGGCTTATTCACATAATATTAGTCAAGGATCATAGGTAATAACAATCGGTGAACAGGGATGGGATATCAGGAGGGCTGTTGCCTAGTTAGATCACATCACTGTTTCTGAAAGCATTCGGCAAAGAACTGTTCCGTAGACTTGACTTTAAACAATCTCAGTCAGTCAGTCAGATGCAACGTAGAACTTCGTACGTAAGTACATCAGTTCATGTCGCCATACCACATCAACACATAGATGTAATTGTCAATTCAAATCCAGTAGTAGAACAGGTAGTAAAGGTATTAGAAGTAGTCGGAGAGGTTAGGATTAGAAGATATTATTCAAGAAGTATGATTTAGTGAGATAAGTTTAGAAAGTCAAAACTAGAGGTGTTGAAGAATCCAGAAGATTAGGATGCACTGGCGCCATTGCAAATGATTTTGAACCATGTCATTCAAAGTCTCTAACCATCGATTATTATCATCATCCAGCGGACCCTAACCAAGTAGTCGACAATTACCGACATGGCAAAGTCCACTCGTCAATGACTTCATGGATTTCTGCCATGTTTTTGGTTTGGCCGCCCTTTTATACTCCATGAATGACTTGGATTTCAAATTCTCACTGGGATAACCGTAATTATTATATATATATATATATATATATATATATATATATATATATATATATATATATATATGTAGGTAGTTACTTCAAATCATACCAATCCATAAGCAACTACATTTTATCGAATAAACTATTAGGTATAATCTTATCTACTAGTAGTAGTTACCTAGTCAGTCTGATTGGGTTGTTGTTCAAAGATAATAGTTGTTTCTTAAAAAAAATAATAAATAAACAAACTCATCTAATGATACATTTTGTATATTCATATGTGATTAAACTTTTGTTTTTGTTCATTCTTCTATTATATTAGTAGTCAACTTGTTCACATTAATTTCTATACTTTGATTTCTTCATATTTTTTTATTGAATCTCGCTCTCAAATGCAATGTGCAGATTTATTATTCTGTGTTATGTATGTCCTTAACTGTTGATCAATACCACCACCACTACCACATGACAATAAAAACAAAACATTCATCGAACGATTTAACATGTATATATATAAATATATATATTTTTTAACTCTGTCAAATGATTGTTAGCATTCTTTTTAGACTATCGGCATTTTGCACTATGGATGCTTTAATTGGTGCATATAGATGGGACAAAAACTGATCATATCTAAGAATAATTGTAGCTTGTAACTAACATTTGTGGTGCTGGCGTTTGTCTAATCTCAAACTTGATGATTCGGATAAAATATTTCCACTTATTCTTCACTTAAGTGGAAACCAGATTGATTCGCAGGTTACTTATCTTCGATCATCGGTGTCTTAGAAGCATTGCTCGTGTATCCTGGGACACCCGAGTGAGCAACGCTGTTATTAGGAATCGGGTGATAGGTAAGAATGGCAGATCAATAGATGAAGTGGTGAAACTTCATCAGTTGAGGTGGTTGGGACATGTGTTGCGTATGCCCAACCACCGACTGCCTCGTCGAGCTTTGTTTTGTAGTGTAGGAGTAGGTCGGAAGAAAGCTAGGGGTGGCCAAACCAAAGCATGGCAGAAATCCATGAAGTCATTGACGAGTGGACTTCGCCATGTCGGTAGTTGTCGACTACTTGGTTAGGGTCCGCGAGATGATGATAATAATCGATGGTTAGAGACCCTGAATGAAATGGCTCAAAACCGTTTGCAATGGCGCCGGTGCATTTATTCTTTGTGTTCTCTCAAATCCTAATCTTCTGGATTCTTTAACACCTCTAGTCTCGACTCTCTAAACTTTTCTCACTGAATCATACTTCTTGAATAATATCTTCTAATGCTAACCTCTCCGATTACTTCTAATACCTTTACTACCTCTACTACTATTGGATTTGAATTGACAATTACATCGCTGTGCTGATGTGGTATGGCAACATGAACTGATGTACTTATGTACGAAGTTCTACGTTGCAGCATCTGACTAACTGACTGGAGTATAACATAAAAGGTTTGTTATCCCATGCTAACGCGACACTTCAAAAACGATCGGAAAAAATTAAAAACAAGCAGATCCAGTGTTGAAATAACACAGTAAGGTAGTGCAAAACATTAATCATTAGAGAATAGCATTCAAAAAGAAGGCATAGCTTTGAAAGACAGAAGGCGTGAAATACACATTACAGTTTAAGATTTAAGGGAAGACAAGAAGTGAATGAATTTATGCTATAACGGCCTAATTCAACAACACTTGTTACTCAGCATCTCCGAATTTCTAATCACGATTATCACTTGAATTCCAACTTAAGAGCCTACGCCATCATCAATACAGTAAACATTTGAAGAGTTTATTGATGATGAATATAAACTCTTGATTTACCCATTTCTTCTAGCCTTCTTTCAACGACAAACAAATGACCTAAATCTGATTCTAGTGAGTCGGTAATTCATAAACACACAAACAAAAATGTCTATAATTAGTTCATACACTTTATATAAGTTCTTTTTTTTTTTAAAAAAAGCAAATTTTCACAATAAAAACTCTAAATAAAATATTATCCATCTATCATAGATTTGAAGAAATAAAAAAAATTACCTGAATTATGTGCAATAATAGTAGGATGAAGTTGAGTATGTGGTTGTTCAGTTAAATGAGCTGGTGTTGCTATTAAAGCACCAGGAGCAGCTGATGTTAATATAAGTCCAGGTATTGATGATGCAGGTAAGAAATTAGCCGGAACTAGAGCACCAGTCGCTGTTAACACAGTCCCTGACATTGCAGCTGCAATTGCAACAGGAGTAGTATCAGAAGTTAAATTTGATGATGAAGCAATATATGATGGTGTTTCCATTGTGATAACGGAAGAAGAATTAATATGATTATTGTTATTATTATTACTGTTGCTATTACTGTTACTATTAGTATTATTATTATTATTATTACTATTATTATTGTTATTATGATTATTATTATCTGAAACAGTAGATGTAATCATTTGAAGTGATGGCTTCTTCTCTTCATTTCCACTCTTTGTATCATTTCCGTCGGCATTGTCATTTGGAACAGGACTTGTTGGATGAACTTGTTTTCGATGACGTCTCAGATTAGAGATACATGCAAAACTTACATCACATTTTGGACATGAATATGGTCGATCACCACTATGAACACGACTAAAAATAAAAAAATATATATAGAATTTTAATGTTAAACAATTGTTCCTACAAATATTGTTAAAAAAAGTGTGAAGAATATGCAAAGAAATAAAACATTTTACACAGAACTGCGAATTAAAGCTACACAGAACATTTGTACTCATTGTAAAATTCGCTTATCACATTTGGACTTGTATAGAGAGCACATAAAATCCAGTTCATGTTGCCATAACAGATTAGCACAGAGATGTAATTGTCAATTCAACTCCCATAGTAGTAGTAGAGGTAGTAGAAGTATTAACAGTAATCTCTAGACCCTGTAAACCCTCTGGGCCTTACTGCCGGTCCCAAGCCCAGATAAAGGAGATGGGTTGTACATGGGGTTGGCGACCCAATCCCAGAAAAAACTAACTTGCCAAAAATTCGCAAACAAGAAAAAATAGTTCAAACCATATAAACTCTGTTTTGGGAGTGAGAAGGTCTTCATTTAGTAGAATTATGACGTTTCAAAGCCGGGAAGTAACACCCGCCCTCAAACCCATAAAAGTATACGAGACCGAATTTGTGACAATCAATCTACTGAAGTGTATATATATTAAGTGTCAAAAATATAAACTGAAAAAATAACTTACAGATGAGCAGCAAGATGATGCGGCTGACTGAATCGCCTATCACAAGAAGTACACGGATAAGGACGTTCACCTGTATGGACACGCATATGAACCGCAAGACGAGCTGCTCGAGGGAATCCTTTGGCACAAACTGTACAAATATACGGTCGTTCACCAGTATGTCGCTTTACATGTTCATTGTAAACAGCCGGCTGAGAAAAGGTTTTGGTGCATACCGTGCACCGATAAGGCCTTTCACCTGAATTTCAAGTTAAATATTATGTCCATTTAATAATATATATATATATATATATACTTTGTTTATAAATGAATCGAAACTAGTTTCAATTATTATTTGACAGAAAAAAATAACCTAAAGTTAAACATTTTCAGAAGAAGTTAGTTGACATCAATTAGGGGCTATGAATCAGTCAGTCAATCAGTTACAACCTAGAACTTCGTACGCAAGATACATCAGTTCAAGTCGGCATATCACATTAGCACAGACATGTAATTGCCAATTTAAATCGCATAATAGTAGAGATAGTAGAAGTATTACCGGTAATCAAAAAGATTAGTGATCGAAGATATAACTCAAGAAGTATATGCCTAGAGGAATCAATCAAAAAGAGAGAGAAAAACGTTGATGTGGGACTCGGAAGATTAGAATTTGAGAGAAGATGCACCTGCGCTATTGCAAACGATTTTGAGCCATATCATTTACGGTCTCTAATCACCGACCATTATTGTCACGCGGACCCCAAACCAAGTAGTCTACACTTACCAACGTGACTCAATCAACTTCTCAGTGACTGCATGGATTTTCGCCATGCTTTGGTCGGGCCGCCATTAAAGTTCTTCCAACCTATTACTACACCACAAAACATAGCTCGACGAAGCATTCGGTGGTTGGGAATTCATAATACATGTCCCAACGACCTTAACTGATGAACGTTGACAACTTTATCAAATGATTTGCCATCCTTACTTAGTAACCTTTTCTTAACAACAGCAGTGCTTACTCGATTGTCCGAGGATAAAGGAGCAGAGCTTCAAAGAAGCCGATGATCGAATACTAGTAACCTACAAATATCCTCTACACTTGCTGACCATGTTTCACACTCATAAAGTAGGACGGAGCGAACTGATGAGCAGTAAACCCATTCTTTGGTTGGAAAAAACATTGAGCACTATTCCACAAAAAATGGTTCAGTATTAATTAAAATAAAATGAATTACAACTAACCAGTGTGAATACGTTTATGTCTATTCATATTCGGCCAGTCATTGAATTGACGACCACAATAGCAACATTGATATGGCTTTTCACCTGTATGTATACGTCTATGCTTTTCTAAATAACGTAATATTCTAAATTCTTTATCACATTCTCGACAACGATAAGGTCCAGAACCTGCAGATGCTTTAGAATTGGAATTTGTAGTAGTTTCAGCTGATACTGAACTATTTCCATCAGTTGAATTGCTTGTTATAATTCCTCCACTAACTCGTGTAACTGGTGAAGTGGATACCGAGGTGCTCATTGTTATGGATGTAGAAGGTACGGCAAAAGGTGCGATCGAAGTTAATTGTGTAAAACCTACAGTATTTATTTCATTTTGAGTACCAGAAGTTAAAAGATCTTCTGTTGTGCCTGTGCTAACTCTTCCAAAACAATCAAGAGGTTCTTGTTTCATTTCAATTGAATCCTTGGAATTCTAGAAAGAAAATAAATATATTTAAAAAGGCATAGATCATTATTTAGCGAACAAATATATCCGTTAATTGAAGGGATTTAGTATGGACTGGTTTAATTTATAGATTATATTCTTCACAGACTGATTTCAACTGGAATACCGTTGAAAAGTCAAGAAGCCCTGGGCAATTCTATTTAGTTTCAGTATGAGAACTCCACAGTAATGTGTACCTACAATCTTACGAGATCGAAACCAAGGAATTAAGGTCTCGCAGTGAGTAGTACTTAAGCAGGAGGATCACCATACTTAGTTCTGGTAACAAAATACCAATCTCAATAAATTTGCTATAGAGTGTAACAATCATTTGATATCATTGGTAACAACCGATTTGCTTGCGATACATCCTTACTTCCACTAGATTTTAATGAACTTCTTGACGTAAATTAATCACTAATCACTCTCATACTAATATGTGAAACAGCTGTTTTCAGTAAGAACAACTCAAAAGAGATCAATCATTTCGAACAAACAAACGAACAAAAATTACTCACCCTTAATCGCCCATTCATTTCTGAATTGGATGTTGACATTTTGATATTTGATTTTGAACCAGTAGTATTATTATGAACTATAGAAGAATTAGTGACGGTATTAGAACCAATTGAAGAGACAAAATTAATTGAACTGCTTGTTAAAGGTGTAGTATTTGTATTCATCAAAACAGAATGATCGGCAACAACTGAGAGATGAGATGAGACAGGAGTCATATTAGATGGTAATAAAGTTGTTCCATGACCACCGGCTACAAGAGGAACTAACAATGCACCACAACCACCCATCCCAGTTCCAGTTGACATTACAGCGGTCATTGTGTTCATAGGTGAGAATAAAGTTCCTGCTGGGTAGCTAATAGACGACATTTCAGATGGTATCCCACTTTCATTCACATCCTTGGCATTATTCGCTAAAAATGAAATCATGTAAAAATATAACAAATATCATATCGTTTTTGTTTAGTGCATATGTTTGAAAACTAAGACAATAAAACAAGTAAAAAGTGAACAAAAAAAAGTGGATTATAACTGTTTGACAAACAGACAAAAAGTAAAGGAACTTATTCCTAACTATAAATATCTCTTTTGAGATTTAAGACTGTAAGGTGAGATGAGGTTATATCAGTAGGCGGACAATGCTATACAAAAACTAGAGATCTGAGTTGAATTATTAGTTCACAGGAATCAGGGGCGGCCAAACTAAAATATGGCGAAAATCCATGCAACCGTAGACAACTGGATTCAGTCATGTTGTTAAGTGTCGGCTATCTAGTTGGGGTCCGCGAGATGATAGTAATCGATGGTTAGAATTCCTGAATGGCATGGTTCAAAACCGTTTGCAATGGCGTAGGTGTACATTCATTTTTTGTGTTCGCTCAAATCATAACCTTTTTAATTCCTTACCACCTCTATCTTTTTCTTTTTAAGTTTCTTTCATTAGATTATACCTTTTGAATAATATATTCGAACCTTAATCTTTACGATTATTGCTAATACTTCTAATACCTCTACCATTATGGGATTTGAATTGAAAATTGCGTCTCTATGTCGATGTAGTATGGCAACCTGAACTGATGTACGCACGAAGTTTTACGTTGTAGCTGACTGACTGACTAACTGAGAGGAATCAGATGGTAAAAGCAGACAAGACGGAAACAGTAATAATAATAATAATAATAATAAGTGCTTAGCAGTAATCAATTTAACTAGTCAAAACTATAAACCATTAATAACCAACAACTTTCGGTTAAAGTGTGATGCGCGCTACTTATAAGTAGTATATGACGTGAGTGTAAACGTAATGTCTGGCAGCAGAAGATGAGGGAAGATCAAGAAAGGAAGAGTGGGAAAACAATGGAATTTGTATGAACCGCATGAATGGTGAAATGTCAGACAATGGATTGAAGATTTGCACATTACCGGTTTACGATATGGTTTTCCTATTTTACTGAGTAACTCTGTAATTTTCGTTAAATACGATTCGGTTGCCCTCACCTGTGTTCTCCTTCACTACAAAAGTGTCTATTGTCCAATATAAAACAGACCGGCGGTTAGAACACTACAACTAAGATACTAAATGTCACATATTTAAGCTGAAATTTAGATGACTTCGACATGAATGACTATTGGTTACACTCATATCTATAAATGAGCAATAAAATTATGAACGATTGGTAAATTTACAACCATGTTTGTTTATTGTACTGTAGACCTATTTCTTTTTTAAATATTACAGTGATCATGGGATTTGTTTGATAACAGTTTAGTTTGTATCATCCAACTCGAATAAGATAACATCAATTTCCCAAGTGTCTCACTGATTGGTCTTTCTTGTAAATGTTCCAGGCAATTAGCTTATGAAAAGTACTAAAGTTTTAGAAAGAAACTGCAAATCACAGTATATACGCTAAGTGAAAGACAATAGCTTTTTTTGCTTGAGATGAAAAAATGGTTCGCATATTGATATTCACTTTTTTTTGAAAAAAAATTTTTTTGCTGCGAAATAAAAATGTATGTATAAAGTTGTGAGAACATTAAAACGGTGAGAAAATATAATTTTTCAACTAAACCAATAAGGTAAACTATTATTGCACGTTTCATTTAAATTTCTCTTAAGCCCATAATAAAATAGAGTTGAATTTTCAAGCATCAGATTGGTTTACTTGACCTTATCTAAACAAACCTACGCCAAGGACACGTAGGCAATAGACAATCAATAATATAGACAGCCTACAGACCGAAAATAAACCAATCAAAAAGCGAAAGGCAGACAGACATCAATAATAGTAACTGCCTTGATACGCGCTACTGATTTAACGCTACTACTAGTCCAATGAAGGTTGGTAGTGTTTGTTAAAAAAGTTGCGTGTCTATTTAAAATAAATAAACAACCTAATTACTCTACATAATAAAATAAAGCTAGAAAATAAAACCTGTCATAACCGCTTATGTCTAGAAGGACAGTAGAGAGTTGCAGCTGCCAATAGTTACCTAAGGAGGGTAGAAATTACAGTGCCTCGGAGTTCATTGAATGATTTGCACAACTAAGGTGTCATTAGTTTGACTATAGACCTGTCAGCACAGTCAAGAAGTAGGTTCCTAGATGGTTCCAAAAACAAGAGGAAGTAATCTGACTACAATATGTATCTCTGATTTGATATTCAATGGAATGAGTTAGTTAACACTAGTCTGTATTCCACTTTTCTTAATAAAAATGTTCAACAACAAACAACTTCTCAACCACCATAACTCTACATACGTTGCGACACACCAAACACAAGTTTATGTACTCCAGCTAGTATAACACACTATGTAAAAACTAACAATGATACTCGGATGAATAAATCGAAGTAAGCTGATTAGGGTTCGAACATGTGACCTTTTAAACTGCAAGGATTTTCATTGGTCGAAATTTAGCGAACCGTATAAAATGAGTAGGAAATTTCTTTTGTACCACCAAATACTTGCATAAGAAAATTGGAATCTAGTATCATTTCCACTTAGTACGGTTCTCAAAGAAAGTCGATAAATTAGTGAGTCTATGAACTAGACGACTCTACTTTAGCCCCTTTGGGACTACTGCCGGTCCCAAGCCCTGATAAAGAAGGAGGGTTGCACATGGGGTTAGCGACTCCATCCCATAGAAAATTAACTCGCTAAAAAAGTGCTAACCAGAACAAATAATTTAAACCATCTAAACTAATATAGTTACGTAAATCAGATAGAAACTATGATTTATTGATTGGTGATATCTGTTAACTTTGTTTCAGGTTCAAACTAGAAACCTTGTATTCATGTATGGAGAAGAGATATAAACAATGCACTTTTAGACAAGTTCAAAAACTGTACTTTCTTTGTTTGCCTAGAGATAGTTATGTTGAATATATATTGTTGGAGAAATACTAAGAATTATGCATGACTATGCAGTTATTAAAGTAATAACCCTTGGATATCTTTTCAAAGATTGATGTGTATTTCAACTGTATTTGTATTTTACCATGATAGTTGTGATGATGAGCCTAGCAAAATAATTTTATGAGTGGTGGCTTTACCTGGAAAAAAATAATTCAAACCATCTAAACTCTGCCCTGGAAGTTAGGAAGTCTTCATTGAGAAGAGTTATGACGTCTCACGATGAAAGCTGAGTTCCTTCGGAAGTCACGAGGCAATCGTTCTTTCAGGAGCATGAAATGTTCGAATAATGTAGCGAATCGGAAGACTGTTCCGAATTGCTGCAGAAATAAAGGATACAACCGTTTGGAACCAGTAAATGCATAGGACACACGTTGGACAACTGAGACTAGCTTCAGGAGAGCTGCTGTTGTACTCTTGCTATGAAGAAGAAAATGTTTTACACAGGGAGTCCAAACAAACACAAAAAACACTAATAGAATGGGAATTTCATGGACCCAGGATTATCAAAGCATTCTTCAAAACAAAGAAAGAGGGCATCACGATCATCGTCATCCAATGCAATGCACCTACCAATGACTACAACGAAGACGTTAAAGATCAACTCTACAAAAGGCTGCAGTCAATCGTCGACAGATGCTCATCAAAGGATTCGACGATTCTGGTGGGAGACTTAAATTCCAAGGTTGTCATGGACAACACTTGATACGAAGTCATCATGGGAGGACATGGACTCGGAGAATGGAACGAAAACGGTGATCGATTTGCCAACTTATGCGCTTTCAAAAAACTGGTTATAGGCGGCACAATAATCCCACGTAAACACGTACACAAAGCCGTATGTATTTGCCCGGATCACAGCACATAGAACCAAATCGACCGTAACTGCATCAATAAAATGTTCCAAAGGACCACGGAGGACGTGAAAACCGGAGCGGACATCACAAAAGTTTAATATGGCCTTTCTATGGGCTACTGACAAACTCAACAAATTCACGACAACCCTCAGCAATAGGCTCTATCTCCTCAATGGGGAGGGATCTACGAAGGAGAACAAGTGTAAAAGGGTCAGGAAAGTAATCACTGAGGCATATCATTTAGTTTTCTGCCACAAATAGTACCATCACGAAGAACAGATACACTGTTGGTACACTGGATAACATTTAAGAAAGGAGGAACAAGAAATCAGCTATAAATATTAGCCAAACAAGAGTAGAGAAAGCCAAGGCACAACCTGAATACACAAAAGCAAACAAGCAAGTGAAGAGGTACATCAGACCCAATCAGCGTAAATATGTTGAAGATCTATCAATGATGGCGGAAAAGGCTGCAAGAGAAGGAAACTTGAGACTATTGTACGCTACAACAAAGAAGCTCGCCGGAAACTATCATAAACCAGAACGAACAGTGAAAATCAAAGAAGGCAAAGCAATCACCAACAGTCAACAACAGCGAAACAGGTGGATAGAGCACTTTAAGGAACTATTGAATCGACTAGCCTCACTGAACACACCCAACAGCGAAGCAGCATCCACGGACTTCCTAATCAAAGTTGGCCCACCAACAATTGAGGAGATCAGTATGGCCATCAGACAAATCAAGAGCAGCAAAGCAGCGGGACCAGACAACATTCCAGCAGAGGCAATGAAAGCAGATGTAGAAGCAACTGCGAAAATATTTCACATCCTCTTCAAGAAGATTTGGGATGAGGAACAAGTACCATCATCAAAATACCAAAGAAAGGCGATTTCAGCAAGTGTGAGAACTACAGAGGCATTAGTCTTCTCTCAATACCAGGTAGTATTCAATAGGGTGTCGCTAAACAAAATGAAGGACTTCGTAGACGCCCAACTTCGAGATCAACAAGCTGGATTCCGTAAGGGTCGATCGTGTACTGACCAAATTGCAACATTACGGATTATTCTGGGGCAATCAGTGGAATGAAACTGACCATACTACATCAACTTCATTGAATACGCGAAAGGATTTGATAGTATAG